GATGAGGTTAAAGAATCACTAAGAGAACTTTTATAATGTTATTAGTACAAACATCATTACAGGTGCCAAGATCAGCATTTCAGTTCAGAGGCAAGAGATCTGACACCAATATACCTATAACACACCAACATCTGCAGTGCATCAGGTGTTTGATGCAGCGCATGGTCAAAATATCTGTACCATCTGCAATCTGATGGATTTGTTTGTTTCTTGATAAATGCACACTCAGAACTATTCCAGATGTAAGACAATGTTCGGTACATCATCAAATTGGGACCTGACAAACCAGTGAATGATAATACAAACAATGTCCCACAACACTGGACTAAGACAATTAACTCAATTACCTTGTTAGACAAGTATAGTTTGCCGGTGACCTACTCTAACCCATAAATCCTGACTCAGTACCATATCATGGATGCCTCACAAGTAGACAATTCTGTATGGAAACTGCATCTGTACAGTCAGAGGTTAGTTGGGACACAGCCAGTGTACAATTCCTATGTCATATCTAAAATCAAGTAGCTGCATTGACCAAAAGAACCAACGCTAAGGGTCATTTTGGAGAAGATGTCAAGTGTCCACCAAAGAGAACTGACACATAGGGTCATTTTGGAGAAGACGTCAAAAGTTAACCCACATCTGTGCTCATGTCAGAGACTGAGCAGAAATCCATTTGACAGATGCACCAAAAAGAAAACATATACTGCAGTGTGTGATCTGAAAATTTTGATCCACTCACTTGATAAAATTCCAATCTGACTTTCTATCCTCGTTATAAAAAGATGAAGTCTACTCGTAATACACATCAATAAGAGCGTTATCCTTTTTTCTGTGACCATTCCTGCTAGTTATTGTCAGATTAATTGTCACACTGTCTTCAGTCTCAGTGGACTTTGACAAACAGTATAGGCATAGTACAGATGTCCTCTAGATCTTTCTCAACTTACAACCTTGGATGAAATGAATAGTAAAATTGATGTAAGAATAACATGCTAAGTTACCATCACAAATGAGAAATATAAGAATCATTCACTGGTCATGAAATAAGTCAGTGTAGAAGGTATATCTTTGTGTGTGTTCTATCCTCTATTTTACTTTAACATCCCATGGTCTAACTAAACAGATTATACCATTACATATGTAAGTGTTTTGAGCCATCTGCATCACAATTCGAACAATAAAAAATCACGTTAGTTATCAGAGTTATCGGAGCCGAGTTATCATTTAGAAAAAATGACTGCAAGGCCATGACTGCAGGTAGCCATTTCTCATTTGTGTCAAAGACTCACAGCACTGCACATGGAACAAGTAATTGAGTGTTGAGATAACAAGTGATCACTGGGTTTAAAGACATCAGCAGGCAGCTTCTGGACATCATGTTTACTTTGTCGGCTGAGAAGTACAAGGACAATATACATGTGCAACATGCCCACACATTTTCCAGTTACCTGACATTGACTAGAAACATACGGCAGAATGTCAGATCTCAGACAAAAGTTGAAATATATACAGCACACCAAAATCCATTGTCGTAAAACATAGTTGGAGGTCACAGAAACTGAAAAACATCGAACATTACAGACATGATGAATGTCTTTTAATTCAAAATGATTTTCTGTTGATTGATATATGCCTAATAATGATATATTTAGACAAAATCAGTTGTCTGTCAGAGCTTTGCTTAACGCTGTGTGAACAGGGTTACAGTCATAACACAGCACGTCAGTTTGATGTTAGGAGCAATCTAAATATGAAGAAGGCTTACTGCTGTAGTGAAACCCAGAGGCATGGCTATGGAGCTGACAAAACAAGACTAATGATACTTCCTTATGTGGGATTAAAACACACAACTGGTACATCTTGGCTTGGGTAGTGGATGAAAAGTCTGAAGCCTTAGGAACATTGTCAATCTTGGATTCTAACACAAATAAAAAACCCTCTCATGTTCTGTGATATGTGTCCAGTACAAGAATCTGTTTATTACAAATGTTAACTAAATCTACCGCTGGAGTGAGTGTGGTTTTACGCCACTTTTAGCAATATTTCAGCAATATCACGGCAGGGGATACCAGAAATAGGTTTCAATTTACTGCTGGAACTATTTTTCAATTCATTTAGTTTTTAAATGTAATTATCAAACAAAAATCAGAAAACAATAGAACAGATACACAGAGCAATGTTTCTTTTTGGTGAACTCTATTCATCAAGTATGATAGACAAGAATGATTGCTCTTGTGAGACTGACTGACTGAGTTTGGATTTACGCCGTTTTTAGCAATATTCCAGCAACATCACGACGGGGGACACCAGAAATGGGCTTCACACATTGTACCCATGTCGGGATTCGAACCCGGGTCTTCGGCCTGACGAGCCAACGAGCTACCCCACCACCCCCTCTTGTGAGAAAATAGTCATGATGGCTCCCACCCAATACAGTCAATGTGGAGGTTGAAAGCATGACCAGTGATCCATACAGATTCACACACTCTATGAAATCACATCAAGTGACACACTCCTTGTCATGTTGCATGTAAGGAAGTGTTTTCGATGGTAGGCTGCATAGCAGCATGTTAAACAGATATAACATTCAACGGACAAGCATGACAATCAAAATATTGAAGTAAATAGACGGTTTTCATAACTGTAGTGAGAAGTTCAGGAACTCAAAGATTGGCATAACAACCCAGCCAGCATTTGCACCACCTTCATTATACATGATATAAAGAGGTATGAAAACAAATTGAAGTCCAGGGACATGTTCTACAAGCGGTATTAACCTTATGACTGTGGTAAGCCATGTTACAGTATCGCTGTTACCATCATCTTGGCATTACAATTACATTGTGGAAAGAGGCCCAGATTTGTGCTTGGCTTAGAAACCTGCCTGGGTAGCAAACCATTCTGTGACCATTATAAACAAATTGATGTAAATATTTCAGGAAAGTTATGAAAAACACTGATCTTGATGTAACTGTTCCCTATTGTCACTGTTCATGTAACATATCTCTACTGCATCATGTGAACTTGTACACAACATTTTTACCATGGCAACACCATACCCTTCTTGAATTAACACTCGACAAACAACATCCCAAAAACATGTGTATCTACTACATCATAAATATTAAAGTTGGCACAAACGATGTGCTTGACGCACAGAAGGATCATGATACAAGTTAATGACGTACCCTGTATTCCTCCCTTTGAACATTCTACAAATATCAATGACAACCACCACCAATATTACCATTACTTCCAATAAGTCCATGAGGAGAGAACCAATGCCCCCAGTCAGATCCTAATGAAATCAGTTAATGATATGGTTGCTATCCAGCTTTGAGGATAAGAGCTGGCATTGGGTTTAATGCTGGCTTATCAAGTTTACCCAAGCAGGGGACTGAGAATGGGCTTGAACATTCTAGAACATTGTTAATAAAATCTACGTCTAAAAGCTTGACAAGTTATTGCTCTTAACACCAGACTCACCACTCCCTTTGAATTGTTTAAACGCCTGTAGCTTATGACTGCTGTTATTCACTTATCACTTAACCAGCTCAATTGTAATGCTGCTATGTGATCTAGTGACATTTCTGACTTTGAGTCATCATATTATTCTATCTGGAATTAACAATGATTAGCAGTCTGATTAATTTATGAATCACCGACTACCTGAAGCACATCCAGCCACGTGTGGCAGTCGTCAAACTCCATGCTGCCACTCCCATTGCCAATGATTTGCATATAACAGCTGAGCAGCTGAGTCTATGTACATCATATACAAAGTCTACCTACCTAGTCTAATATCACACATGATATATATACTTATATACAGTTACATTGGAGACTAGGAATACAACACATATGTCAGGGCAGAGCATGCAGGCTTAGTTCGACAATTTAAGGGTGGAACATCACTAACAGCCTTGGTTCATCACAGACAGAAGCACCTTGACAACAAGCTGCTTTAGTGTAATTCAGTACAGCTTGACGTCTAGCTGCTTTAGTGTAATTCAGTACAGCTTGATGTCTAGCAGCTTTAGTGTAATTCAGTACAGATTGATGTCTAGCTGCTTTAGTGTAATTCAGTACAGCTTGACGTCTAGCTGCTTTAGTGTAATTCAGTACAGCTTGATGTCTAGCAGCTTTAGTGTAATTCAGTACAGCTTGACGTCTAGCTGCTTTAGTGTAATTCAGTACAGCTGGACGTCTAGCTGCTTTAGTGTAATTCAGTACAGCTGGATGTCTAGCAGCTTTAGTGTAATTCAGTACAGCTTGACGTCTAGCAGCTTTAGTGTAATTCAGTACAGATTGACGTCTAGCGGCTTTAGTGTAATTCAGTACAGCTGGACGTCTAGCTGCTTTAGTGTAATTCAGTACAGCTTGACGTCTAGCTGCTTTAGTGTAATTCAGTACAGATTGACGTCTAGCTGCTTTAGTGTAATTCAGTACAGCTGGACGTCTAGCTGCTTTAGTGTAATTCAGTACAGATTGACGTCTAGCTGCTTTAGTGTAATTCAGTACAGACTGACGTCTAGCTGCTTTAGTGTAATTCAGTACAGATTGACGTCTAGCCGCTTTAGTGTAATTCAGTACAGCTGGACGTCTAGCTGCTTTAGTGTAATTCAGTACAGATTGACGTCTAGCTGCTTTAGTGTAATTCAGTACAGCTTGACGTCTAGCTGCTTTAGTGTAATTCAGTACAGCTGGACGTCTAGCTGCTTTAGTGTAATTCAGTACAGCTGGACGTCTAGCTGCTTTAGTGTAATTCAGTACAGATTGACGTCTAGCTGCTTTAGTGTAATTCAGTACAGCTGGACGTCTAGCTGCTTTAGTGTAATTCAGTACAGCTGGACGTCTAGCCGCTTTAGTGTAATTCAGTACAGCTTGACGTCTAGCAGCTTTAGTGTCATTCAGTACAGCTTTATATCTAGCTGCTTTAGTGGATGGGAGGATCTTTATACTAGTAAGAATGATAGTGATAGTGTCAACAGCTGGATCCGTGATATTTCAGCCGTACTTTGGCTCCTGTCCTCTACACATGATTGGCTTGATGAAACAATGAGGTACTGCAGTATACTATACACATCAGTGTGGGTGGAAATCCTTCAGTAGTTTTATGTGTCAGGACAACCCTCACATAACCCCGAGGCAAGATGAGCTGTGATGGGCCTGATGGGTGAGAGATGACCGCGCTGTGTCATCAGCATTGTTTGTACCTAAAGTCAAAGGCCGAGGCAACATTGGTCCACTTAAAACACTGTTCACTGACATTGTGGAGAATCTTTCTATTTTGAAGGACTTGCCATGTTTCCTGATCAGCTTGATATGGAATATTTATACTGTCACATGTTCAGCACAGATTTCGTCTTGCTTTCACATATTCCAAAAATATGGTATCAGCCCTGTTTATTCATTCCAATATTTGGGTCCAGTCATTTTCCTCAAAATATAGGGCATCTAATAGCTTCTTCACTTCCACAACTGGGACCACACATGTGTCCACACTTTCATAATAAAGGCCATGTTTCCTGATGATCCGGAACCATGTCCATGTCTAACAATCATCCTCAGACACTTATACCAACTGAAACCTGTGACCAACTGTCCATCATGTCTCATGTGCTCCCTGTGTTTTGTCATATAATGACTCAGGTGTACCATATAAAAGATTGTTGTTTCTAAAACAAATAAATTTGTCATAAAAGCTGTCAAGATAAATACATATATATATGTCCAAAATTGTAGAGATAAGTATATTAAAAAATGGTTCCTCCAAAGTCTGTCAATGTTACAACCTCACACAGCCATATACTGGTAGTCCATACCATTGTCAGTCACAAGTAGCACTTCCACATGCCTGAACACTGTAGTCAACAGTTACACTCTCAGGTCCTCACATGCACCATATGTTATACTAGCCAAGAGCAAGCTATAGAACAACTGTGAACTGTATTACATGTACCACTTGCTCTTCCCTGTATCAACAGTTCATTTATTCAATTTCCAATGCTAACTTGCCCCTTCCCAATATCAGCTGTGTCAATTTTTATTCTGGGTGAACTATATCATGTATATTCAGAGTGTCACTTGTCTTCCGTATATTAACAGTGTCACATGTCTTCCCTATATTAACAGTGTCACTTGTCTTCCCTATATTCACAGTGTCACTTGTCTTCCATATATTAACAGTGTCACTTGTCTTCCCGATATTCACAGTGTCACTCGTCTTCCCTATATTAACAGTGTCACTTGTCTTCCCTATATTAACACTGTCACTTGTCTTCCCGATATTCAGTGTCACTTGTCTTCCCTATATTAACACTGTCACTTGTCTTCCCGATATTCACAGTGTCACTCGTCTTCCCTATATTAACAGTGTCACATCTCTTCCTTATATTAACAACTTCACCTCTTCCGTATATTCAGTGTCTCTTGTCTTCCGTATATTCACAGTGTCACTTGTCTACCATATATTCACAGTGTCTCTTGTCTTCCCTATATTCACAGTGTCTCTTGTCTTCCCTATATTCACAGTGTCACTTGCCTTCCCTATATTCACAGTGTCACTTGTCTTCGCTATATTAACACTGTCACTTGTTTTCCCTACATTAACAGTGTCACATCTCTTCCTTATATTAACAACTTCACGTCTTCCGTATATTCAGTGTCTCTTGTCTTCCGTATATTCACAGTGTCACTTGTCTTCGCTATATTAACACTGTCACTTGTTTTCCCTACATTAACAGTGTCACATCTCTTCCTTATATTAACAACTTCACGTCTTCTGTATATTCACAGCGTCTCTTGTCTTCCGTATATTCACAGTGTCACTTGTCTTCCATATATTCACAGTGTCTCTTGTCTTCCCTATATTCACAGTGTCTCTTGTCTTCCCGATATTCACAGTGTCACTTGTCTTCCCTATATTATCAGTGTCACTTGTCTTCGCTATATTAACAGTGTCACTTCATCGCTGCAGTTGCCCAGGTTTGTCAGTGGCAGATCTATGCCTATACACACGCCCTCCTCCTCCTCCTCCTCAGCGTCCTCTGAGTCCAGACACAGACGCTGATGCTCTTGGAAGATATATGGGGAGAGATGTCGGACGCTGGTCAGCACGTGGACAATGTTAGCCTCAAAGTACAGTCATAAGTCGGGAAAGCGGTTAGGGTCTTCACGGTAATCGGAGGGAATAATGAAGAGTTCTTCAGGGAGTTCTTCTTGCCATTCAAACATTGTGAAGGTCACTTTAGCAGTGACAGTTGGGAATACTGGAATTTCTGAAACAAAGCATCCTTAGCTATAACAATCGTTTCAACGATCAAATTAGATGCTGATATATCACATGTAACATAACGTGTAGTATGCCTAACCAAACACGATTTTGTGAGAGCCAAGCATAAATCTTGATATGCAACACTCAGCACTATTTAAGCTATAAAATGTTGTCCATTAATATTAGAACTATCTGCAATATTTTCTGAACAACACAATCCCATGATTATCATCATGAACATTTTTTATCACAATCGGGATATGATGACATGCAAGTCACCGTCCTCACCATCCAATCTGGTTAGTTGCCTCTTATGACAAGTACGGGTTGCTTGCTATCATTTAATGGGAACTATGCTTCATACCTAAATTAATAATAAGATTCAAGATAAGATATAGAAACAGGAAAAATTAGAAATGGACTTCCTACAAATATTTTGTAGGAGAAGAAACTAATGAGATCAAAGAATGTATATCATAACTAAATAAGTCAAATGACGCCTGTCTTGATCAAGTTCGTGTCCGCATGTGTGTATTGTTGGTTTGTTGTTTAACGCCACACTCAACAATATTTCAGCTATAGGGGCAGTCTGTAAATAATCAAGTCTGGTTCACACAATCCAGTGATCAACATCATTAGCATTGATCAACGCAATTGGGATATGATGACAAGTGTCAACCAAGTCAGTGAACCTAACCACTTGATCCTGTTAGTCTTATGACAAGTATGGGTAGCTGAAGACAACTTTTACACAGATCTTTAAGGGTCATCTCTGCATGTGTATAAGGATAATACTTACCTATCTTCACTGGGAACCCTGGTGGAAGTTTGGTGGTCATAAACTCTCTCAGTTTTTGAAATTGTTTAAAAGGTGCCACAACTTCTAGAACATCTAGTAATCTGAAAGGAACATGGAAATATGTTATCAGAGACAGAGAATTACCCCAGCCATAAAAATGTCATCATCCTACAAGACTGGGATTTTCACTTTAAAGAAAAAAGGAAACAAGACGACAAAGTCATCAATATCCCTCGCAATGGCAAAATACTCTAATGACTATGTCTACTAGTTATGATTATGTCAAATCTTTTGGTGAGTATATGGCAAAGTGGAAGGAGAGCATTGAAAGGTTCTAAAGTTCTGCTCCAGAAAGGAGCACTACCACCAAATTCAGTCGAAGCCAAACTTGTTGCCATGGAAACACCAAAAATATTTTATTTAGAATTCCAAAAATACCAAAAGGCACCAGTACACACCATACCTATCTATGTGCCAAGTTTGGTGAAGAAATATTGATTGGTTTTAAAGTTCTGCTCTGGAAAAGAACACTAGCACCAATTTCAGTCAAAGTCAAACTTGTTGCCATAGAAACGCAAAAATATATTTTATACAGAAATCCGAAACTACCAAACGGCACCAGTACACGACCAGATCTATCTATGTGCCAAGTTTGGTGAAGAAACAGTGAACGGTTTTGAAGTTCTGCCCTGGAAAAGACGAAAGTGCACGGACGGATGGATGCACGCACGCACCACGGACGGAGTGCATTTTATACCCCCCCGCAAAACGCGTTGTGGGGGATAAAAAGGCACCACTAATGTGAAAGGTGCACACATGGATCCCTCTTTGAAAAAGTTACCTTAAAATTATTTGCTTTTTAAAATGATTACCTCCCCTTGTCAAGAAAGAAATTGATCAAACTTTCATACGAACAGAGACTGGACATCGTAATATATTTAAAAACTAAAGAAGAGATGTCTTTTCTATTATTTACCATCTTTGACACAAAAAACTATTTACAATGGCTCCAAGAACAGCATCAACACTTACATTTCAACACTCATCGGGAAATCCTCACTCTGAAAAGAGAAAAATAGTTACACATTCTCATGAACAAGATTCTTTTTGTCCAAATGGCACTTTTTGAAATCTTAACTAGCGCTGCAATGCACTCACTTTTACCAACACTGACTTCATCGCATGTTAGGAGGCAGAACCAGTAACATGAGTATTACTGCTGTAGCAGAGTGGGCAAGTGATGGTGCTAACTATCAGAGCACAGCACATTATTACCTCAGATAACCCAAGCTGCCTGTTAGCTGACTTATAAAACTGGGTACCCATTTTCTGCTGGGTGAACAGAAGCAATTTTGAACAAACTAACTTGCCTAAGGTGGGACCAGATGTATCACATATGGGGCAGGACTGAAGTCCAGGAAACTCTCAGAAGTCAAGCTGCCAAACACGGACACCCATCCAAGGCCTCTCCTTGCCTAATATTGCTCAACATCAACTGATTTGTGACCTGAGTCTATACAGAGGACCATACACAACCACACCAGACAAGCGTGTGTGTGCTAGTGAACAGGTTATTGTGACCTGAGTCTATACACAGGACCATACACCACCACACCAGACAAGCGTGTGTGTGCTAGTGAACAGGTTATTGTGACCTGAGTCTATACACAGGACCATACACCACCACACCAGACAAGCATGTGTGTGCTTGTGAACAGGTTATTGTGACCTGAGTCTATGCACAGGACCACACACCACCACACCAGACAAGCATGTGTGTGCTAGTGAACAGGTTATTGTGACCTGAGTCTATCCACAGGACCATACACCACCACACCAGACAAGCGTGTGTGTGCTTGTGAACAGGTTATTGTGACCTGAGTCTATGCACAAGACCATACACCACCACACCAGACAAGCGTGTGTGTGTGCTAGTGAACAGGTTATTGTGACCTGAGTCTATGCACAAGACCATACACCACCACACCAGACAAGCGTGTGTGTGCTAGTGAACAGGTTATTGTGACCTGAGTCTATGCACAGGACCATACACCACCACACCAGACAAGCATGTGTGTGCTAGTGAACAGGTTATTGTGACCTGAGTCTATGCACAGGACCATACACCACCACACCAGACAAGCATGTGTGTGCTAGTGAACAGGTTATTGTGACCTGAGTCTATGCACAGGACCATACACCACCACACCAGACAAGCGTGTGTGTGCTAGTGAACAGGTTATTGTGACCTGAGTCTATACACAGGACCATACACAACCACACCAGACAAGCATGTGTGTGCTAGTGAACAGGTTATTGTGACCTGAGTCTATACACAGGACCATACACAACCACACCAGACAAGCGTGTGTGTGCTAGTGAACAGGTTATTATCCATCTAGTGGAAAAGCAATGTTTACTAGGGCTGCAATGAATACACTACGTGGCGAATATGATACATATCATGAATTCTGGGTAACGAATATGAATGATTATTCACGAATCGAATATAATATTGTAGTTAAGTGATTGATGCACTTTATGGAACGTCCATGTTGACAGTTTTGATTTCTCACAGCAATAACCAGTGATCTCATGACACTCAAATTTGGTATGTAATAGTTAGTTGACAGTACAATGTGCAGTCTTGGCAAACTAACATGACTTGCACTTCTGCAATGCTAGTACATGTTCCATTCTTGCATATCTCACTTTGGAAAGGACATAAGGGTTCAAGTAAAACATGCTCCCTTAAAAAAATTGTAAATATTCGTTAATATTCGGTTCTGGTGACCACGAATAACGAATTGAATTCATGAAGGGCTACGGTTCGTTTCAGTGAATATGCGAGTGAATCGTTACAGCCTTAATGTTTACTGGTCTTTAGAGTCTTGCTATGATCCCCAGTGTACAATACATTCACCCTGTCACTCAGAAGAATCCTGGCACCGATGGTAGATGTCAAGATGCGTCTCTGTTCACTAACAGTGAGTGAGTTTAGTTTTATGCCACACTCAACAATATTCAAGCTATATGAATGCGGTCTGTAAATAACCAAATCTGGACCAGACAATCCAGTGATCAACAACATGAGCACTGATTTATGCAACTGGGATTCGATGACGTGGCAATCAAGTCAGCGAGCCTTACCACCCTATCCTGTTAGTCGCATCTTACGACAAGCATGGGTTACTGAAGATAAATTCTAACTCGGATCTTCATGGATCCTGTTCACCAAAAAGGGAATGGGTATGGGAAATGTGGATGTGAAAAGCCTTTTTGGGCTCCTTCAAGGTGCTTGAGCTGTGTGCTCTCCAGGGAATTGAGAAACTCGTAAAGCATGTTGATCTGCTGCTTGAGGAACATACAAACTGCAGTTGAGCAGACACTAATACCTGGGTAAGTGTAGCATATAATCAGAAAATTATAATAAATAAATACTAAAAACAAAGCGCATTCCTGCTTCTCACCATTGCAACAGTTGCCTTGAAACCTTTGGTACTCTCCTTGGCGATGAGAGTCCGTCCTAAACATGGGGGTCGTCCCGGCAACGCATTGATGTAATCACACCAGCTGGTGATGGGGTTGTCAGGTGGTTCCAGGGATGGGCGGCGCTCAAACTGAAACAGCAACACACCTTACATAGTCATGTTGTGTAGATAGGTCTTATATTCTTACCCAGATTCAACTCCTTCTTGAAGAATACAGTATACAAGGAAACCTTTTGCTCTCTTTTCTTTTAAATTTGGAAATTTTATCTATAAATTGTATATTTATATACTTATCCTATCTCACGGTATGCATCTTCTTATTCTTCTTCGACCATGTGTGGAAACGTGCTATAGCTAAGTTGAATATAACCTTTCTGGCCTCTAACCACCTGACCTCTGCCCCCACTCCGACATCGACACCTGTCAATCATCTCTATAACCGTGCATATCGCTCAGATGATCACGTGACGACCTGTGCCTGTCATTCTCGTCTTGGAGCTTCCAGTAATCTGAGATGTGGGGCAGGTCGGGTGGGCATTCGTGTGAGATAGGATAAGTATATAAATATACAATTTATAGTTAAAATTTCCAATTTTTTAAACTTATCCTATCTCAAGGTATGCATTATCCCACGGTTGGCAGGTGGGTCGCAGATTAACCTATCTGTTCTACAACTGTGAGGACGCATAGCACAAGGAGGCCAGGAGACAGCACCAACTCCCGATATGCTAACTCCAACTTGTGATGGGTTGCTTTAGATAACCCCTTGGCTTACACAGCACAAAAACTGTAGGGAGTGGGCACTCCCGAATTAATGTGGTTTTCAGCCGCAACTTTTGACAAGCAAAAGGACGCAGTTTGGGAAGTAGGCCCCGCCTCCCCGCGATTTATCAGGTGACCCCAGTATTCTGGCCAGTCCCTGCTTCGAAACTACCCCCCACAGACACATGCTGGAAGGCGATGAAAGAGGGAATAGCCCGGTTGCTCAACTAGTTTAATGTTCAGTACCAATCTCCCTAACTTCAGTACCAATCTCCCTAACTTACCAAAGGTGAGAAGGACTTAGGAGCAGAAAGCTTCAAAAACCATGAAGGGAATCGGAAATCGACTCTTCACTGACGTAACTCAGAGAGTAGTGGTCAGTAAGCGGAATGTCGATCATCTCTGCATGTAGCACAAGACTAGCCTCACAGTCTATCGAGTCATAACTTATGACAGTGCAGACACGTCCTACTTCCATAGGTGAGAACGATCTAAGCCCAAAAGAAAAAAGTACCAAGACATGGATTACATTGATATCTTTTATTATGTACAGAGCAAAACCGACCAAAAAAGGATTGCTTTATCTGCAAACACGGGTTGATGACAACTGCTGCACCAGTACCAAAGGACCGAACTGATGCAGACCTTCAACATCTGTAACCGAGAGATCCCGAGGGTAGTGCGAGGCAAAGACGGTATCCGACTTCCAAAAACAACCATCCATGGTGGACTGGAAGGACCTATTCCTGTGAAGCGCCATGGTGGAAGCCAGAGCCCGGGTCTTATGAGGGTTCGCTGTCGTAGGTGGAGGAAGGTCCGCAAAAGCATATGCACGCAGGATTGTAGATCTCATCCAAAACACCAAGGTAGTACGGGAGACTTCCGAGGCAAAGGCAATGGATAACGGGATAAATAGTCTCTTGCGCAACCTGCGGTGATCCTTACAGGCAGCTAGGTAAATCCGTAATGCTCGAACCGGGCATAAGGAAAGATCTTCCATGTCATCTGGACCCAATATAGTAGACAGCGGCGGGATTGTGAAAGAGCGATCCGGCTGTCCTGGCAATTGATTTTTGGCAAGAAAATCCAACCCCAAACCAAGGAACACCTTAGCATGTCTAGACCTTTCAAATCTCACCCAAGAGACGTCAAGCACATGAAACTCGGAAATACGAGCAGCTGTCACTAAGGCCAACAGAATAAAGGTCTTGAAAGTGACATGCACAAAATCCTCCTCTAAGAGCTCATAATCTGCTGATGAAAGGTGATTCAGTACAATGGAAAGATCCCAGGCTGGAGGCTGGAACTTCCAGGACTGATCAGCAAGTTTGTAAGATCTAAGGAGAGACTGGAGCTCAGGGACAGTGGATACCTTCACACCAGAGGCCGTCGCAATAACTGTGTTAAGGGCAGCCAGGTAGGCAGACAGAGTAGAACCTTTAAGCTTCTTAAAGGTTCGCAGATGCTGAAGGTATTCTGCCACCATCTGTGGTGATGCCGTAGTGGGTGATGTTATGCCCTTCATCCTGCATTACGCTTCATCATAAAGTGACCTAGAGGAGGTACGGTGCGCAGTAGTAATGGCAGTAGCAACATGCTTCGAATATCCTTTAGCCGTTAGCGATTTGGGTAAATGCACCAAACGTGAAGAAGGAGCGTGAGCGGAGACCAATGTAGTTGATCGGAGTGTGGATGAACCAGTAGATCGAGCCGCTCGGGAAGACCTAGAGGATCTCTTGAAGATCTATGAACCAACTTCTGGCTGGAACACTTGAGGATGTAATTTCCACTCTGTCGGAGATGGACGATGCATCCGGGACAAAGAGTCCGCGATGACGTTCTTCACCCCTGGAATATGATTGGCTCAAACTGAGATGTTGAGGGTGTATCAGGTCGAAGAACTGCTGTGTCCATCGTAGAAGTTGCAGAGACCCTGTTGACCCCATCCGATTGATGTGCCATACAACCGCTGTGTTGTCCGAACAGACCATGAGAGACGACGCTTGTAGAATCCCTTGCCAGTGACTGATCGCAAGAATCACCGCCCTGAGCTCTAACATGTTGATGTGGCAAACGCGATTTGCGAGAGACCACTGCCCGGCCACTTGCTGATCTAGAAGATGAGCCCCCCACCCGTGTAGAGAGGCGTCTACATACAGGTGGTGAGAAGGGTTAGACGGCCTTAAGCAAACTCCGCCGCAAACATTCAATTCAAGAGATGGGGGTGGAGCTCCGGAGGCAGAGAGATCAGAGCAAGTGGGTTTGCCCACTCTGATGTGAGGAGCCAGAAATAGCTGTCGAGGCCGGAGTTGCAATTGACCTTGTAGAGTCAATGCCTGAGCTGACGTCAACAAGCCCAGTAGCTCCTGCCATTGAGGAAGCGTCCTGGGTTGTGACAACATAAGAGGAACCAGGCGCTGTATCTTGCAGAAGTGATCCCTCGGCACAAACAGTTTGTTGACCTGAGTGTCGAACACTGCTCCGATAAATTGTAGATGGCGCGTAGGGACTAGTTCCAACTTCTGCAAGTTGACCAACCAGCCTAACTGGCGAAGTAGCCACATCGTGTACTGCATGTGTTGAGGTAGAAGGCCATGATCGGACTGTGCCTGGATACAATCGTCAATGTAAGCTTCGAACACTATCCCCTTGTGATGGAAGAAACTGGTTATAGGATTCGTTACCCGTGTAAACAGCCATGGGGCCGAAGAAATTCTAAACGGGAGGACACGCCACTGATAGTGGGTGCCCTCCAAGACAAACCGAAGGAACTTGCGATGAGCCGGAAGTATTGGTATGTGAAGGTATCCATCCTGGATCAGGATGTGTGATGAAAGTGAGGCGGAGGTTGTAGAAACATTTTGTGGAAAACCTTCATATTGAAATTTAGTCTCAACTTGTCGGAATGTTTCTTTGGCACCAGAAGGATTGGAGAATAAAACCCCGGGTGGGTCGGAGCTGGGCCCTGGGACTCGATCGCAAATTTCTGGAGAAGAGTGTCGATCGTGGAGCGCAGAACAGCCTTCTGCCCAACGGGATACGTTCTGTGCTCCGGAGACAAAGTTAGAGGAGGATTGCCGATAACAGGAAGTTGGAACCCCCTTGAGAGTGTGGAAAGGACGTAAGGGTCGTCCAGAATGATCCAGTTCGGGGCATAAGTCCCAAGTCTTCCGCCTACTGGGGAAGCCTGGATAGGCACGACTGGGGGCGGAAGAACCCAGTCGTGCTCTAATGTCTCGGAGTCACTGCTTCTCAGGTCTCTGAGAAGAGGACTGGTTGGAGGAGGCAGCTGGTCGAGAAGCAGTGAACGCTCTACATTGACGATGAGAACTTCCCCTGGAGGAACCTCTCCCTCGAAAGGAAGAAGTCGAACCTGAGCGAAGATCCGGGTTGGACGGAACATAACGAGCCAGCCGTCGGTGGCGCAAGGAATCCTCAACCTGTAATTGTTGGAATTTCAACAACTCCACTGACACCTGTAAATGAGCTTCCTGCCCCACTCTAGTGGCAACGTCTCTGATAGCTCCATTGAAAAGAGACTTGCCCGACCACGGTTGCCGATAGAGATCAGTTCTAAATCTATCCTTCCATGAGGACAAATGAAGGGGCCCCCGATGCCGCATCGCTGTGACGTAGGAAAAGAAATGGAACAACTGATCCAAAATGGTCTGAAAGAGCTCTTGTATTGGCACCATCGACGCCCGAATATACGCCTGTTGATGAAAAGTTGCATGGGAAACAGACATGGCAACTGCTTCAGTAGTCGTTAAGACCATATTGAGGGGAGCCAAAATCTTCCTGATGGCACCATCCAAATGCAGTAGCTCCCGATCCTCCACCAAGAATGGTGAGTAAGCTCTCTGTTTCGATCCCATCAATGCAATATCATCATCCACCGGAGGGGAGACAATAAGCGAAGAAAAACCATGCACATGGGAGGACGCTAAATTAAAGCGAGGGGCTGCAAAACCATCCTTCACCTTCCTCCGGTTGTCAAATGCCTCATCCAAGGAAGCAGCCAACTGGGTGATGCAATGACGTGGTGGAAACGTGATGGAACCAAAATCACCTGGCTTCATGTCAAAACAAGACAACAAATCTGAAGGCGAACTACTACGCTGAAGACGTAAACTACTAACATCCGAAGATGAAGTACCATCTGAGGTGGGAGAAGGTGTAACCTCCTCCACATGCTGAACTGGGGCAGTCGGGTGACGAGATGGGTGAGTAAGCGCAGAAGGCTCTGGAGCATGTGAAGCATCCGATCTAAACGCTACAGTAGGTGGTAACCGAGAACCCACTGAACTAATCTCACGAGAGACAACAGAGGAGGTCGTCGAAAAGGGCGCATAAGATACAAGTGGTGTACTAAGCGTCGCACTCGGGACACACGGGGCACCAGGAACAAGCGTCGCATAAGATACAACCGCTGACATACTGACGGCAAGTGCTGCACTGAGTGTACCAGGAACAAACGCTGATTCCAGAACAGTAGTAGAAAGCGTCAAACCGATAGCGTTAGAAGTAAGCGCCGAACCAGAAACAGAGGGCCCTCTGAACGAAAGTGCTGAACTGGAACCAAGTAGCGCTCTGAATGAAAGCGCTGGACTGGAATCTAGCAGCGCTCTGAATGAATGCGCTGAACTGGGGTCAAGTGGCGCTCTGAATGAAAGCGCTGAACTGGGATCACATGGCGTTCTGGAGGTAAACGACGCATTGGAATAAAGTGGTGGTACATGACCAAAAGGCACAGTATGGAGTATGGAAGTAAAAAAAACCTCACTAGCAGTCATCGTCAAAGTCGGAGGAATCACAGGAGGGTGAGAAAGCGCCAACCCAGTATGATCCACTGTACCAGAAGAAAGAGTCGCACTTGACACAAGGGTTGCATGGGTAACAGACGTAGACGCAACCACTGAGGTGGAAAGCGCTGAACTGAGAGCAAGCGAGGCTTCAGCACTAGAAACTACAGATGACGGACGGGACTAAACAGTTGAAGAAGGCACTATCACAACCGTGAGATAGGATAAGTTTTAAAAAAAAAATTCACATCTGTAAGTACATTTTTCTTAGACTTGGCATGAATATCGGATGAGCATTGTTTACAAGGTCGTGATTACAAGACTTACAGCACAATTGTCCCAGGTGCCTTTACTGAAGTTCTCCATGATGGCCTTATTCTTCTGTACATCCTCTGGAGACAGGTGCTCTCTCCTATAACCATGGTAACATATTATATTCTCTGATGATATCTCAACAACAACAGAAACATTGACAATAGCAGATACATATTATGAGTGAATATTTAATAATTTAATGATTCTATTTTCAATTCTGACCAATCTTTAAAAAAATGGTATCATCAGATTATGTTTCGAGGCAGAAGTGTTATTCTCGATAGAACGAGGCATGATGTGTCATTGCATGTGCTTGGACGATGTGTTTAAGATAAAGATAAAGGTAATGATAAAGATGTTTAAAGGTCACATGCAACCAAAAAAACAAACATAATTAAAACACAATTATCACTTATTCATGACATATAATATACATTGCTGATTGTGAAAAAACATATAAACAAAATTATAAACGTACAATCGCGAATCAAAAGTGCAATATTTTGTACTTGTGTTTACTTCCCTCGAAACGAAGCACTCGGGAGACCGAACCGAGTCAGAGCGGGTGGGTGTGCACTCAAGTGTAACGAAGTCTCTCATTGGCTGGTTCATTTTGCCGATACCCCTGAGGGCTCAGTGTGTGTGTGTGTATATAGAGATGATCTGTTTGATTGGCATTTTAGAAGTATGGTGAGTAATAAGAAAGTAAGATTCTTTATGGATAACAACTTCTTTTTATTGTATATGATGCGACGTTTCGAATGGTATGGATTTTTATACCATTGTCAAGCAAGAGTGACAACGGTATAAGAATCCATACCGAAACGTCGCATCATATACAATAAAAGAAGTTGTGATCCATAAAGAATGTGTATAGAGATGTTGGGTTTTGTAAATACATGCTCTCTGCATTTGCGTTCTATCCAATCAACAAATACTGAGATGGTGAACTACTGCGTGGCTGGAAACTGTCGTTCGTCCAAGTACAAAGCAGGACTTGAAACTGACAATCTGAGTTTGCACCGGTTTCCGTCCGATCCAGTCATCTGAGAAAAATGGATGCAGTTTGTTTGCAACCAACAGACATAACATGTCATGTGTACAAGTATCACACCTGCCTGTCTGTGTAATTACATAATGTGACAGAGACAGAACCCAGGTGCACGAGCCATAAGTCAATGTATTTTGTTTATGGTGTAAAGTCTGATAGGTGTTAAGTTCAAATTGCATGTGGTCAATGATTGGAGTTGTGTATTGCATATTGCCATTAGCAGACAGGCAGGCAGACACATAGGTGTCAATAAAACAGACATTGAGTTTTGTCTGTGACAGAGACTGCTTATCACAATCAACATATTTGTCTATGTTTCCATAGACATGTATTAAAACATTTCAGTTTTCAAGCCGAGGAATTTTTAACAATGAAATTAGTATTTCTAATGGTACACTTTCTTGAAAACTTGGTTTGCAAATCTGCAACCAAGTATGGGACCACTGTACTTTTATTACTGCAGACCAAAGATGCTTGTAATCACAAGAAACATCTTTTGTTCTCCAACTCCGACCACAGCGATAATCCTTGCACGCATCACTTGCTGTGTTTTTACGAGTCGCCTTCCCGGTTCAAGCCGCGCGAACCTAATCAGTGCGCATGCGCTATGGGCGCAGAGCAGCACAGCTGTCGAAACCACTTTTCACCCCAGCGGTGGGGTGAAATTAGTAAATCGATTGAACTACGATTTCGCGGGGGGGTTTCATCGCGATATTTTCCAACTTTATAAGTTGAATTTGCATTTTTTATAATTTGTTATTGTAAGTCCATACCGAAAGGTATCAGAATCTGCAAAGTTGTGTTTTGTGTTGCATGTGACCTTTAAGATAAAGGTGTCATCACATATTGATGACATGTTCTACAGTTGTTCAATGGATGTTTTTAAGCAGCTGAAAGCCCATAACACAAGGATACTCTTATCACTTATCAAGTCGAAACAGTCTGACAAAAATCTACCGAACAGAAACTGACAAATTGACACATGATGTGAAGCCAAACCATATAAAAAAGCAAAACATCAGCTAAAAACATGCATTTTTCATGTTTAAATGCAAGGTTTACTCAGTGTTGACCTGACGAGACCTTCTTTTCATGGTTTATCTGAGCTTCAGGGAGAGAGGTATTGAACTAGAAACACACTACAATAAACTACGGTTACAACAAACTCAAAGTGACCACAAAATTAACTGGTCATAACTGTAGTTAACTTAATGACTAAAAATATGCAGCAAGAGGTCAGGAAAATACAAGAGTTTGTTATATCCGTAGTTCGATAGATGTTTGTTGGTTACTGAATCTGACACAAAGGAGATTGAATTGTAAATATAGTTCTCTTGGAAGTGGGGACAGAAAGTTCAACTTGACATTGCCACCATTGTTTGTCAGGAGCAGGCATGGTGGGAAAAATCATGGGGCAATTTGAATCAATAATACAAAATAATGCCTCACCTTTTACGAGATTCAAGAGTTAAATTATTTACACAGTAGAAGTCCGCCCGGAATTCCCCAACCATTTCCTGAAACAAAAGGGGTGAGGTAAATAATATTCAGTAGTTTACTTTTCTGACCAGTATTCATAATGCCACTTTCAGGATAGCTCTCAGTTACATTAATAGTGAGTGAGTGAGTTATTATTTAACGTCACATCGGCAATATTTCAGCCATATCGTGACGAGAACATTTGACATTGAAATAGAATATATATAGATATTATAAAAACCTGCCAACGAAGGACAGTAAAAATACTAGATAATCACTGATATGAATATAAAACTAGCAAACAAAGCTAAAACATTCCAATTAAAGAAGACAATACAATGTAAAAAATGGGCTATAGATCGCCAACAACTGAAGGTAGATCACCATACTAGGGACCATGGGGACTTACAGTACCTTTGCTACCTGCATGGACCCTAGCTGGATTTACACCATCCCTTCAGCCGCTGGCGATAGTATGACAATTTAGCCAACAGGTAAAATAACAAGAATACTATGTTTAAAATGTGATAATTTATATTTTACTTTGAAAGTTTTGGGACTTACGTACCCTCTCAGGAGAGTTACATTAATAACAAAAACAAACAGCTTCAATGAGATGATTTGCTTTCCTGACCAGTTTCAATTTATCAATCCAAATGAGTTTTTAAGATAGGTTTCATGCAAGTTGATATATCTCTAGCCGAGCAGAGTTTCCTGTGTCCAAGTTTCGCAACAGTTAGAATCCTGGCTGAACTTGTGGATTTAAATAATTTGAATGAGCAGTGTTTTTTGCCATAAACACTGCTGACTGTTTCAGGTGAGGGAGACAACCTACTGTTTTGTCTTCTCGGAAGAGCCATCCACTCTGGGCCCTAGAGAAGGAGATGTTCTTGGTGGACATCTGGGCAGCCATGATGTCGCTGCTCATCAGGATGTCCACCTCATCCTCAAGTTCCATTTCACTCTCCTGCAACACAGCTCGCAACATCATTGTACGCAGAACACACCATATGGAGCACAGTCCTATGCTATTATAATTATATCTCTTGAAAACTAGCAAGATGTCATATATTAATGCATAAACGTATTTTGTATTTATTTGTCCAAGCAATATATCTGTGAGCAAGTTAGTGAGTTTGGTATAACACTGCACTGCACAGTGTTCCAGTTATATCACAGCCTGGCAGCTTAATGTGAGAGGAAAGCCCTAAATAATGCAAGTCTCAGATGTTCATCACTTTTGCGAATCCCATGAGTCTTAGTATGGCACTGACAAACCTGCAAATATACTGAGAGAAAAAAATAAGGGATCACATGTAAGCACAAGTGTTTGTTTATTTTTTCTCAGGTTTCTTCACAAACTATGCGACACAAAGCTTGTGAAGAAACCTTGGAAAAAAATAAAGAAACACTTGTGCTTTCATGTGATCCCTTATTTTTTTCCCTAAGTATATAATCAGGCAAACTCAGATTCGAACCCACAACCATAGGTTTCTTGTGTGCCTAATGGATACAACTCCACACAACAGTGTGCTCAGTAACAGGACCTCTGTGCCCCAGTTATGTTTCTTGTGAAAAGTAAACCAGTGATAGCTAACATCCTAGGATTATTTCTTGATGCAGATTAAAAATGTCTATCTTCCACTATCAGACTGATGACAACTGATCACCCTCAACTGTCAGCATTAGAAAAATACTGACAACATTGCATGTGGTGACCTAGTCTCTTCCTGATGCATATGTGATAATATTAGGGAGTTTTGAAAGACATTTAAATTCTATATTATCAGTTTGGGCTGATATTCATATAATTCTTCAGCGTAAGTAGATGGTTCTTGAGACTGTCATGCAGAGAAAAAAAATTCAATGCAAATACATCAAGTCATGAATCCCTGACAATTAAATAATATCCTCAGGTTATTCATATTTCAATCCTGTATCAGTTCATATTTCAATCTTATATTCATATTCATTTCACATGGACCTATATTGAGACTCAATTTATTCAGTTTCAGGGGCATATCAAAGATTCTTAGCAAATGCGGATTTTGCTACTTTATCAAAAAATAGAAGTGCTTATATTGACACACAACTTTTATCTGAAATAAAGTATTGGCTGAATGAGGCATTTATATTTACATGTATGAGCACAGATGTACAGAAAAATTCAAGCCTTTTAATAGTGATAATGCCAAATGGAATGTAAAAATGCATATAAAATTGCAAGTTAAGTATCATATCGTACTGGGAGCATCACATACATATCGTACTGGGAGATGGTTGTATCATGACATCCCTACTATACATATAGAGGTCGGGAGTAATACATATTTCACATACTGCTGTATAGATTCAGTGACTTGACACAATATACATGATATATCAAGAAAGATCAAAGGAGAATGAGCATGCATTTAATAACATTCTCACATTGGTTAAGAAGACAGAGTTAAGATAGTCAAATGATAAATAATAGCTACCATTGTCGGACTGACCTCGTATCGAATACGCTGGAACACCTTGAGTTTGTTGTCCAATACTGTGAGGGACTGACGAGGACCAGCATCGCCATTAAATACAAATGATATATCACCCCGCTCCCAATGCATGTCATTAAAATCTACTAATGTTGTATCTAATCTGCAATGGAAAGGAAACACACAATTACAACCTGTAGCAGTTTAATAATGGCATGATTTTTGTTATTGTTTACTAAAAATCATCTCAGAATTATATTAGTATGATTAGCGATCTCCGCTCATTACCCATCAACTGTGTGTATTCAAATTTAGGCCAAATGAAGGGAATACTTCCAAGGCTGGAAATGAGATTCTACTCAAGAAATGCTTTAATATCTCAAAGTTATTTAGCAAACATTACCTTATACATGCCCCTTTCTTGCGTATTTTGCATATATCTGAAGGTAGAATTCTGGATACTAAGGGCACTGAAAAACACAAACAAAAGATTTCAAGTTGCTTTATGGTGATAATAGAACAGGTTAGTTTTAGAACTTTTAACCTTGCTCTCAGTAGGTTAGTGTAGACTGGGTAAAGACAGAGTTTGACTGCAACACTGTTCATGAATTTCCTTGTTACGACCCATAGTGAATAAAACAAAGATGTGCACATTTGAACTGTCAACTGTCTATATGACAGTAAAAGACAACAGCAAACTATAAATTTCTCTCAGTACCTGTTTGACATCATTGTAATCACCTATCAGTAATTGGCAAACTGACCAAGGATGACTAACACTTGCAGTCACCAATAGGTTCCCCAACAACTTGGGAAATCTCTACGTCATGTTCATAGTGATGGAACTTTGGATGTAAAGGTTTAATGACGAGTTGCCACTGTGACAGTCTTACTGATAGACCTTTTATCTTCCAATGACGATATTATATTAATCTACTTGTATGTAAGCAAACAACAAAAGATGTTACTGTAGAGCATAAGAGGGAGAGGATGCATGACTTTAAGTTCTAATTTTCAATAGCTTTTTATCCTCAGTCTATGGAGGTATATACTCACACACAAAGCAAAAACAATTCTAAATTTTGAGATGGAAAAATGTGAAGAAACATTGTGAAAGTCTCACCCCAGCTCTGAAAGTCCCACTTGAGTTCGAGGTAGAAATCATCTATTTCCTTCAAGGCTTGGATGAGTGATGGACGCCTTTCTTCTAGCAATTCTCGAGACTGTTGCTTCAGCTTTCGTAGAAGGGAAACAACTGAAAAAAGAGTTGAGATCATCATCATCTTCATCAAAGATGCTGAATGAACATTTGGCTTGACATTAATGATAAAACCTTCCATGTAAGACAATGTTATGATAATATTGATCATGTTCTCTTTGCTTAAGTTTAAAACGCAGCCTCCCAATCCGGCAGCAAAATAACTATGTCTATTACAACAATAGTATTTACTGTTTGTAACAGATTACGACATTTTGTATTATGGATCAAATATTTATGCACATGTTGTTTCTACCTTACCATTGTATTTTATGCAGTATGTTGTACACGACATCTGTAATAATTCTGCAGTGAAATGTTAATGATGAACTTAAATTGTACATGCTATTTCTTTCAAACGCTTATGGAACAAGCGATCCTGTACTTTAAACACATTGTATTTTATGCTGTATGTACACGACATATGTAATAATTCTGCAGTGAAATGTAAATGTTGAACTTAAATTGTACATGATATTTCTTTCTGTACTTTAAACACATTGTATTTTATGCTGTATGTACATGACATATGTAATAATTCTGCAGTGAAATGTAAATGTTGAATTAAATTGTACATGATATTTCTTTGAAATGTAAATGTACTTTAAACACATTGTATTTTATGCTGTATGTACATGACATATAATCATTTCTTTGTAAATGTTGAACTTAAATTGTACATGCCATTTCTTTCAAGCGGCTTATCGAACAAAGCGATCCTGTATTTGTAACATGGAAATGGGAAATAAAAACTTAAATGAAAAAAGTAAACAAATTGATCATGTTGACGTAATGAATATGTAATGGGAAGTAAACTTATTACCCTGTTTACTCATGTGACCTCGTGTCAGTATAAAATACTTTTACTTTATTTCACACTATAGACAATACTTCAAGAGGTCATAATGAAACAGAAAACAATTCCATGTCATGCCCTCTGATCCTTTAACTGTGTATAAAGATTCCCTAAATATAATAGCCGAAAGATGCCTCAATAAGCATGATAAGGGGTAGCATGTTTGTGTGAAGTCTGCCATACTTACTGGTCTGCCTGTTGCCGTAGCTGATGGCTTCTGCCAGGGGCGTCCACCCCTGCAGGTTCTTCACCTTCACTGGGGCTCCATGGGCCAACAGTAGGTGTACACACTCTGACAACACAGGAAGTCACAGCTCAACAACGCTGGATTTGCAGTGTGTAATTCATATAATCTACACAAATGTATATGGCATTCCTATTACTGATATAGTACTTGTATTGATTCCTTTATGGTGCTGACAAATTGAAAACAGATTCCGTAACAACATTTCCATGGGAAAGGCTGATATTGGAAAATTTCCCAGAAACACTCATCTACACTCAAATGGATTATGTTGATCACCGACTTGTGATATTTGAAAAGTCTGTTATTAGATATAAAAATCAAATGAAAATGAGGTGAATTACCATGACAACCATCGATCTAAGACTTCTGGTCTGTTTGCACATATTTGGTGTTACGCAAAATAAAATGTAAATGCCATAACTTTTTGCTTCTGATATTAGAATATTATCATAATTAAACACATTGTCACAATTTGGATCAGTAATCTGTGAGCTCTTTAGAGACATTATAATTGGGACATCAAGGAGAATGTAAAAACAGCAACAACACTAGAAATCTGTGTTAATGTGAAGGTAGTATCTGGATGCATTATTAAAATATCCCCAAAATTAACACACCACATGCTTTCTGCAAATAAAATTTCTTAATCACACACCCACAAATGACTTATTAAGGAGTGTGAATGAGTGAGTTTAGATTTACGCCGCACTCAGCAATATTCCAGCTGTATGGCGGCGGTCTGTAAATAATCGAGTCTGGAACAGACAATCCAGTGATCAACAGCATGAGCATCGATCTACACAGTAGGGATAAAATGACATGTATCAGTCAAGTTAGCTAGCCTAACCATCTGATCACGTTAGTCACCTCTTACTACCAGAATGGGTTACTGAAGATCAATTCTAATGCGGATCTTCACGGGTTGATTTAGCTGGCTAAATGATGTTTCAGTATGGCTGCCATGTCTGACATGCTTAAAGACCGATCAGATTTCTATGAGTGATACTTGATGGCACCATAGCTTTCGTTCATACAAAGATTCAGCACATGAGGTTTCATGAGAAAAAAAAATATCTTAACTCACTCACTTCAATCAGGAGAGCTAGCAAATCATAAAACAGTAACCACTAACCAGGTCAGGTAGCTACCTTCATATTATTCCTGGTAACATGTATAACCAAAGATAACATCAAGGCAATGTCTGACTCACCCTTGTGCCCCAACATAACAGCCAAGTGGAGAGCTGTATTGCCTGGAACAGAGACAACATGTCTGGTAACCATGGTGTAAAATACAGGCATGGGAGGATGAGCAATGTAATGGAAATCAAATGAAGCTTCACATAATTGCTTAACTTGGATCCCCAAAATGCATCACTGTGAATATTTTGGAGTTGAAAATAGACACACTCAAATAAATCCTTGGGCTAGAACCAAAAGCTTCCGAAAATATTTAGTTACAGAACAAGTTCAAGTCCATTTAACAGAGTAACTGACATGGTTGAACATTTTGAGATTGTTGGCAGCCGCAGCATGGTTGAATCCATTCGTTGATACATCTCTTTGTATGTTTGCTGAAGAAAATGATTATTACGATGTCTTATACATGTCAGTTTATTACACACTAAGTTCATTGATTAATTTCAACGAAACAATTTTACATTAAACTACTAACAGGGTACGCCCAATCATAGGGAATAAGAAATGGTCACCAGAGGAGGAGGCTGGTTTATGTATAGATGACAAAGACGATGCCCCCTGTAATGCATGTAACACCCCTGAAGATTAAAAACATACGACAAATATTTGTACAGTCCATTTCAAAATTAATCAAAACTCAATAATAAAGTTAAGGATTTACAAGATTGTTTACACATAGAAACAAAAGGACCTTGATATTGGTCCAGTTGCCATAAGCGGTTTGTTTGAACCATTCTATTCAATTACCCTTTTCGATGAAACTCTGTTTATCGATATATGACATTGGTCCAGTTGCCATAAGCAGTTTGTTTATGAACCATTCTATTCAATTACCCTTTTCGATGAAACTTTGTTTCTCGATGTATGACATTGGTCCAGTTGCCATAAACAGTTTGTTTATGAACCATTCTATTCAATTACGCTTTTCGATGAAACTTTGTTTCTCGATGTATGACATTGGTCCAGTTGCCATAATTATTTTGCTTGAACCATTCTATTCAATTACCCTTTTCGATGAAACTGTTTCTCGATGTATGACATTGGTTCAGTTGCCATAAGCTGGTTGTTTGAACCATTCTATTCAATTACCCTTTTCGATGAAACTTTGTTTCTCAATATATGACATTGGTCCAGTTGCCATAAGCAGTTTGTTTTCAATGAAACATATGTTAAATGACATATTATGACATATATGATTTGCTGTACAACAAAAAAAAAGAAAAAAAAAAAAAAAAAAAAAAAAAAAAGGACCTTGAATTATTTCGCTGAATGCATAGTTTTCTTCCAGCAATACAGAGCATTGTGGTGAGTGAGACAATATGGTTATGCACTGCTTTTCTCACTATTACAGCAATATCACAGCAAGTAACACCAGAAATAGGCTTCACACAATCGTATGTTTTAACCACCTGACTACTCAGAATGGGTCACATGGCCTTTAAATTCACTTAACATCTCACTCTCTCCAGTGATGGATCTCTTTAATCATGTCAATATTTTTAATGACACCTGCAATCACATGCTTCAGCCACCCTACTACTACACAGATGTTCTTTTTACTGTTTGTGCTGAACAGTTACTGTTAAAACAGGATTACATTTGGCAGTATTGCAGTCTGTCTCTACAGGCTTGTCTTCACTCAGCTACCAGGTATGTGTACTTGATGCTGTATTGTCTGTTAAAACATTTAAACGTGGAATTGCATAACTATAGTGCAAAGTGCTCATCTAAAATTGCAAGGTACTCAACAAGTCCATATATTTGTTCATGAATGAAAATGCATAGCCCAAACCATCCATTGTTCATGTGAGGCAACAATTAGTAAGCTTGAGACGGGGTAAAATTACATGACATGTAATGATGAGAATTTGGACTTGAATCAGGAGTCACATGTATATTTTGGGGATGTTGTCACATTTTTTTTCAGAACCCTTGAATATTGTGTCTAGCAACTAGTAGCATAAACCTGGGAAGATATGACTTAATCAGAATCATGGTATTGATTCTTCAAATTAGGTACAGACCCTATCCACAAATAGTGTTCATAGCAGCACACCACTCACAAGCCTGTAATAAAGTTTAGCATTATTATAGGGCTGTAATACTACTGACACTTTGTGGATCGGGATGCTGGCCCATAAAAAGATCATTCCTAAGGATAAAGCAAATGTTGCCATTACATGTACTTTTCTAATATAAGTGACCTTTTGGCTATCTCATTTCAGGACTATATGTTATATGGTTTTTACATGTATACATGACAGCATATTTTTTTTCTATTTTTCCCGTTTGGTTTTGACATATGGCTGTTTCCATTCAACAATCATGGTAAAAAACTAAAATTATAACAGAAAAAACCCCAAAACCCACCCATAACGGTTGCTCTTTTCCTATTTAGATTGTTGCTCAATATTTTTAAAAAGGCCATTTCATATTGATGTATTCTCTATGCACTTAGTATCAAATGGCAACTGCTTCTTTTGGTTCGGCTACCATAAACAAACGGCCCCTCATAAACAAAGTCATTCAACACGATTTCGTTTGATATCAGTTCAATATCTTTCTGTGATAAAATGTTGTTTCTGACAAGAAAAAATACTAAAATAACACACAATATTTTCGTAAACTGACAACTGGGTAAAACGTTATACTGTTCACATTAAAATCTTACAGAGCAAATGTACCAGCCGATGGCAGATAAAAGAATAGCAAAGATACTAAATTAAATTTGACATGATGTTCAACATCTGATTCCATTTCGGCCGTGAATAAAATCTCTGTTGTGTACAAAGGGTACAACGCTTAACGTTTGGCTAGAACTAACCATGAATGTCTTTCTGTGAGAGATCATAAGTTCTGATAAGTTGTGAAACTCGACGTATATCATCATTAAAAACACTTTCATGCAAGGGGTAATCCGAGTTGGCCGCCATCTTTATTTACAAGCTGACGTAAAGGGGAGCAGTCATTGCTTTAAGCTGTTTTTAATTATGATGGATTGAATATACATTAATATTCACTTTAACGTCACCCGCCAGACTTTAACCATAAAAATCAGAAATTATAGAAACAAGGCTTTGTTGCAGTATAACTACGTTGTGCTGAAATATTTATTTATAACATCCTCCGGATTTTGTCACCGGACCAAACCTGAATTTTACATTTTTACACCCGACATGACAATCCTTGAACGTTTTTTACGCTGTGGTCACTCTTTTCAAAATGTGTTTACCCGATGTCAGTGTTTGATATGACATGTTAGAGATTCGTATGCTGTTTTATTGTTATTGTAAGAGTAATAAAATGATTCAGTGCGTGAGTCAGGTTTATCTTGGATTTTAACAGTATTCCAGGTATTACATATTTAGCTCGGTAGCTTTTTGAGTGAGTGAGTTTAGTTTAGTTTCACGCCTCACTCAGCAATATTCCAGCTGCATGGCGGCGGTCTGTAAATAATCGGATCTAGACCAGACAATCCAGGGATCAACAGCATGAACATCGATCTACACAATTGGGATACGATGACATGTGTCAACCCAGTCAGCGAGCCTGACCACCCGATCCGTTAGTCGCCTCTTACGACAAGCATGGGTTACTGAAGATCAATTCTAACCCGGACATTCACGGGTCGGTAGCTTTATGGTTTAGTTTGTATAGCTAAATATCATTTTCATTTGGCATTTTTTACTTTCTTGGTACTTTGACGGTCTAATTCATATGAATACTGGTGAGTATAAGCAGCCTTTAGGGTCCGAGACTTTGGATTGGAGAATCCTGGTTCAAATGATGACCAGAATTAGGATTTGGGGATTCCTGCATCTGCCTCAAATGATGGCAAAACTTTGTTTTTAACTGAAAAACTTGTGCTCTGATGTCAAATATTTGATAGAAGACCCTTGCCTGTTTTAACAATGCAGCAATATCAACTCTTTCTGAAACAGGCCTCACATATTGTACCAATATGGACAATTGAACACGGGCCTTTGGCTTTGGGAAAAAGGTATAAACCACTGGCCTACCCATTGCCCTAGCATTAACATACAGGCATTACTGACTGACTGAGTTTGGTTTACGCCGCTTTTAGCAATATTCCAGCAACATCACGGTGGGGGACACCAGAAATGGGCTTCACACATTGTGCCCATGTGGAGATTCGAACCCGGGTCTTCGGCGTGACGAGCCAACGCTTTAACCATTAGGCTACCCCACCGCCCCATACAGGCATTAATCCATTGATTTCAGTTTGATTGTAGAACCAATATCAGGAGTAGTTGAAATCCTTATCTCATAATAACCCATATTTATGGACATCGGGCAAGACACTGGTTTCATCTTTTTCTTACCAACTGCTAGAATGCCAATAAAACAATTAGATACTGGTGTTGCTCATCCAATCTCTGGCTTCACCTGGAAAAGTCTCCCCTGCATGCCATCTTCCAATAAAATAAGATAAACTGTTATGTCTGTCAAAAGTTTATTCATTGCATAAAAGAAAATCACATATATATGACACAACACTATATAAATCACATACACACATGCTTTCCTAACAGAAGTAAACACTTAAAGTTGCATAGATTAATCCTATAACAGTCAAGCAAAGGCCAGAAACTGTTTTCAAAACAATTCAGTATCAAGTTATGGATTCTATAAAATGATGACCATTTTGACTGCTTTGGGAGTTTGTACCAGAAGGCAAGGGAGTCTTCTAAAGGGCAGTCATAGTGTAAACAAAGGCACAATAAAAGAGTCATATCTCGTATAGATGTTTGATAATACCTGTAGAAAGACTTGTATCATCAAAGTATTTGTTACAACATTCAAATCCACACAATGAGAATGCATAAAACTGTACAGTTAATTTGTTTCTAAAAATGTAATACAAGTCAAGAGTAGAACAGAACACAATTGAGGTATTAGAAGTGGAAACTGTCCAGATTAGAGAAGCCACTGACTGATAAACAATGAACTGAGGGTTCGAGTTTTAGACCCTTACAATTGACATAGGAGGCATAAATTTTATAGGGATTTGGTATTTCTTGCAATCTAAATGAACACATTCAGTCTGGATTATCATGGAATGATATACATGTACGTGCTTATCAACTTTCGAGAAGTAGAAACAATAAGTAACGAACTTACTCCAAATTATACAAAAGCAGTTCAACATTAAGAGCAGTATCAATTTTTCTTGTTCATCAACAAATAAAAAGCTTGGGAAACTGATGACTTGAGTGTTGATTGCAGCATACTTTTATGTATCTCCAGAACATGCTGCAATAATACGGGAAATGTTTTTGACTTGTGGATCTACGTTCTTGTAACTTTTTATGCAATTAACATGTTTTTGATCTAACCTTAAATCTGTTTGGCTTCTGTACACCATTTCCATTCACTTAACACCAGATATACTGTTATCTAATGTGTTGTCATGAAATGAGAACAATAAGCATTTTAACATAATTATACTCAAGGCAAAGAATATGGTAAATATTGCTATGCTATATCTCTAAAGAACACATGTGTCTTACTGCTTGATCAGGGGAGAATTCATTTTCTTATTGGACTCCTGAACTATGTTCAATACATTTAACAGCAGAAGGATACTCACATTCATTGTCTAGTGTGAAAAACAGTTTAGACCAATAAAAGACTTGAAATCTGCAAGTTTACTCTTAATAATCACTTCCAAAATGTACTGAAACAGAACAAGACTACATACACGTTTGTACACATTCAGCTTTCACCTAAACTGAATGTTAACAGCCATAAACTCTTTATCAGTGAGTCTTAATTAATGACCATGTGTCAGAACAAGTGCTTCACAATATCAACATGTACTATATAATAACATATATAATGCACCAGATTACAATCAGCTTGTCAGTTCACATGGCACAAAAACTGTATCACCCTGGGGCACTGTGCCCTGAACTTCCTAGGCCCTGTTCCTCAAAGCAATTGTAGCACTACGCCTGTCGTAAGTCTATATTAAAGTATGGGAGTTCAATCATCTTAGTGCTACGATCACTTTGTGCAACGGGCCCAAGTGGATATACAATATCATGTATATCAGCACAAATAAATGTTTGAAAGCTAGAGGTGAGGATATTGTGCACAGCTTCATGCTGCATGTCTTGCAGAGAATGATGTTAATGGACAAGATAAACTTCAGATGTTGTTGATCAGTGCAAGGCTAATCTGACATGTGAACACTTAGCATGACAAAGGGACACAACTCTGCACATTGAAAGGTGAAACTTTAGACAACCTTGCCACCTGTGTAGATAATGGTTTGGAACTAATTATGCTAAACATCAGGTGAAGTTCTCGAAAGGCATGTAGAACTTGGACGAACATGAATACATGACATACTTATAGACAATTCAACTGATGAAGGAGCAAGAATTAGCTCTGAGACTGAAAGGTCGTGATAAAAATAAACAGAAGTTGTATCCGTAAATGTCATGTCTTCATAAACATCAGGTTATCGAAATACATTTAAATAATCATTTACTACTGCTTCCCTTTTCATGGACGCTTGCGATTGTGGCCATAAATCTTAAGTATTGGAAAGAAACTGAGACAAGAATTTATATCACTGATCCTGTGACTGTAACAAGCTAGTTGATGTAACATATGTTATATTTGGGATTACACTTTCTTAGTAAAGTACATATTCTAGTACTTTTTGGGGTTGTGTACTTTTCACAGAAAGTGTAATCCCAAATATAATATATGTTACATCCGACCACTTTCTAAATGACATTGTGTTATTAAAGCTAGTTGATATTGAACCTGAAGGTTTGACATTTAAGCTAAAGACTCACATCACGACATCAATCAACTAGTGGTGTTACTATTCATGTGAATATGGATACCATGAAGTCCAAAGGTCTCCAATATCACACACTGTATTTCTTTTCTTATCATTCTCATGCAATACACACATAACTATTTCAGATATTCTTCTCGAGTTCACATGCCGATCTTCTGAAAATCATAGTAGCTCTCTGTAAAAAATAAACAAATTAGAGACCAGGGTTGTACAATAAACTACAAAACTAGGGGTCCAGGGGACCCTAAATAAATGATTTCAGGGTCCTTACAGGAAATATAAGGGTCCTGTAAAGTAATGACCAGGGCTAGCATGTTGTAGTGTACATGAGTGAGTGAGTGAATATGGTTTTACGCCGCTATTAGCAATATTCCAGCAATATCACGGGGGGGGACACCAGAAATGGGCTTCACACAATGTGCCCATGTGGGGATTCGAACCCGGGTCTTCGGTATAACAAGCCAACGCTGTAACCACTAGGCTACCCTACCGCTTTTACAATTACAATTAATTACAGTACATTACCTATCCAATCAAGAAATTGAACAATGAATTACACTGTTCGTCCCTCAGGATGCAATATATATTTTCTGCTTCCACTCTTTCCATTTGTGCATCCTGGTACTATATTTCTACATCATGTAAAAGCCTGAACAGACTAAAGTGAATTACAGCACCTCACAAGCGACCCCCTTACTTTTTACTTGACAAACCTGATCTACACAACATACTATACACACCCTCAAGTCTCTATTGCCTTCATACAACCATGCTTCATATATGATACATAGCAACACATGAAAAGCACTACTCGCTGATAGCAAAATATCTCCATAAAAAACATTTCTAATTGTTGCATAGAAAAATCAATTTGGCAATAGGAAAACATGTAAACATGATAATATTCTCGTCATTCATTACCATGCAGCAATATGTTTATTGCGATTATCACACATGTAAACAAATGTACATGAACAAAATGGCCTTCAGACAAAACAGCTGTTTTTCCTGTTGATTGCTTAAACCATCCATAACATAAGATTTTGGTAATCAGTGGTCATAGGAAAATATGGTAAACAGTCTGAGTTTCTGTTACAATAGTGTTTTCAGTTAAAGCACCCCACATAAAGGACAGTGAAAATGGGGAAAGATTTCAGTAAAAATCAGGAGAAAAAAACCTGTCCTCGTGCCAGCTACTACATAAAGTGTTGACAAGAGACGCCTGATTGGCTCCAGGAGCCACTGACTTGAATCACAATGGGCCCAATGCTGTTTCATCTGACCTGCACATAAACTGACATTATGAAAATAAGTATTGTTTATCCTCACTAAGGTGATCAAAGTAAATATCATTCATACCTGTACACATGGTACAGTTTGTAGAAGCTGAGCGTTTTCAAAATGCCCTTTTTGTGTAAAAAGCAAAAATGATGCCCATCTTGTCTTGTGTCTACAGGGTTGACAGCTGCAGAGACGAAATGCTTCACAAAAACACATTACATGCACCAGTATCATTATGACTTAGAAAGTAACAAATCGGGGTACTTTGTGAAATTGTGTACAAATTGTGTGATATGAATGAAATGTTTTGTTCAATTTCACAGTTTTATTAAGATAATGTTCTGGTTATTGCATAAAGACACGCAGTGCACTGTATCATTCTGAAAACATATACATAGTGCTTGTGTCTGTTGAAAGACCATGAAAGACATACTGTGCACAACAAAATAATTCATGGACACAAGGTATATCATGTAAGTTCCTAAGTGTTAAATCTGAAACACTATCTACATGAAATACAGACTGGGTGACTGGTTCTTCAGTCAGCAAAACGTGAGGGGTGACAATGATTGCATACGAACTGAGATCATGGAAACTTACTCAAGCACCTAATGCTACGGAGTCCTAATTCTATTGAAATGAATATCTAGTTTCACTATAAACTTCCTTATTATCTTGACTGACACCTCTCCTTAGTTGTGTTTATTAATCACTTATATTCACTTTTGAAATTTACGAGGAAATATTTTTCTCCCAAATTGAAGTCTGTTAAATACACAGTACATAAAAATGGTTTATCATCCAAAACTGTGTTCCACAGGAGATATCGCTTGTGTGAGATCAAACGATGTCTCCTAGGAGATATCGTTTTCACAGTAGATTTTGTACAATGTCCTCATGCGATGCGTCATGTCTGATGACGTCACAATGCTATGACATCGCTGCACTGCAAGTCTAATGGCAGTACCATGTTCAGAGATGTACATTTTTCATTGAAAATTAATGAAGAGTGATTTTGATGATAAATAGAATCTCACCCTTGTCTTCTGATATCATCAACTTTTCGCTGATAAAGTAAAAATATCCTCGGCAAGCCTCGGATATTTGTAACTTTATCAATCGGGTTGATATAATTGATATCAAAAGACACTTGGGTGAAGACTCTATGAATTAACATGATTACATCAATGCCATCTGAGCCTGATCAGTGTGGTAAGAGTACTGAATATTATCTTCGTGATTTTGTCTTTGGCGTACATACGCTAGAAATGTGTGATCATCACGTCATAGACACATGAGTGTGGGTTCTGGTTCTGCACAATGGGATGAACATGATCAATGACAACAGTCAATGTAGGACTTTCCTCCTGTGTTTCTTCTTACAGAAGATGAGAAGGAATATGATGACGACAACCATGAGATCAACAAACATGAGCGACACAGCCAGCACCAGAACACTGCTGGAGTCGGACGACTTGGATGGGAACTGTGCATGGTACACACTGGAGAGCTGCATGCGTGTGTGGTGCTCTTGGATGATTCGCCACAGATGTCGCATTATAGTTGCCTCCTTGCCCAGAAACTCATCTCTAACAACTCCAATCATGGCTGGGCTTGTCAAATAATCCACTCCCATGAATTTCTTAAGTACAGGTGTTTTGTCATCAATCCCAACAAAGGCACTGGCAGTGTTCTGGAAAGTGATTCCAGCCTCTCTGGCCACTACTCCCATCCAGGCCTGGTCTGGTCCAAACCTTGGAGTGGACAGCGATGCCTGGAACAGCTTGTCCACCACACCTATTGGCGCCAAATAGGCATCACTGCTACATACCTGTTCAGATCTACCATAGTACTTAAAATAATTGGATTTGAGAAATCGGCTTTGTGGAGGTGCTTCACAACATTTCTGAAAATTACACATAGTGAATTTATCTGCTGAAGGTGATTGTGATTTTAGATAAGGAATCAGTTTGAAGATATCCACAATGACGTTGTCATTGGCAACCATGACATATGAAGCATGAGGACAGTGTTTACTTGCCCACTTGTAGGACATTGCCGTCTTTAATGTCAAGTTATTATCACTATCTATGAAGTCTTCCTGGATGATATCTTTGTATATTTTGTTCTCCCTTTCAATGGAGTTTTGAATATCTTTATTACCCATGGCACCAAACATGAACACTAAGGGTATGTGGAGTCCCTTGTACTTGTGCTTGCTGCCCCATGTCTCTCGTATAGCCATTCTTCGATCATAATGGGCAAAGATTGTCCTGATTGCAACAAGAAGAAAGACTTGGGTATGCTGCAGACACAGAGACGGATGGTTTATGTTGTAATTAAAATCTTGAGGGTATTCAATCCCATTGTTTGCAAAGTTCTGGACTTCCATTATGAACTGAACTTTGTCAGGTTACTTGACATTTCCTTTATTTGTTTCTTGTTGACAGATCATCACATCAGGGAATTTATCAATCTATGCAATGAACAGACTAATACCTGCAAACACAAAAGAAAAAGTGTTAACATGTCTTTAAAAACAATTGGATGTAATTTGCAACATTAATGCAATGAAAAGGAAATGACTTAAAAATGCTGAGGAATGTTATCCTCAATAATTTGGGTTGATTATCTGCACAGACACCACATGATTGAATCAAAGTTCTATCTATCATCACAATCCATAAAAGTATTATTGTCTCATGTACAAAACTTCAAACTCTGAATCAGTGCCATTACAGATTTTCCTGGGGTTTGGCATTTGGCAATACAAGTCTGTAAGGGAACTGTTTTGCTGCAATGTGAGGTGAGGTGAGGTGAAATTGGGTTTAACGTCGTGCTTGAGAATATTTCGCTCATATGACGACGTGCATGCGTGTGTATGTGTAGGTGCGGCTGCTTGTACTAGCCCAGACTTAAGCTGGTTTTAAGTGCTAGCCCACTGAGATACCACGCCACAGTGAAGCATGAATACCCCACTCAGACACATTATACCGACTCTGAGCCGACCAGTCCTTGTTGTACCCATTAATGCCGAACGCCAGGCAGGGACCAACAAGTACCATATTTTAACATCTTTTCGTATGACACGGTCAGGGATCGAACCCGCGACCTTCCGCTTTCCCAGGCGGACGCTCTAACCACTACACCACGGAGGCGGTCTGCTGCAATGTGAAAATAGACTTGTCCTGACTTTAATACTGTCAATTTAAGTTATATTTCCTTACTCCCCTATTGGTGAGGGTACATTTGTGTAAACAGAACTGTATTTCAGGAACATTTGTTTATACAGAAAAGTATCAGGGGTACATTTACTTTAGATGATACATGAAAAATACACAAATGTATTCTGTTCCACTTTTAACATTATGTTCACATTTTCTACTACTCTGAACTTTTCATATTGTGTTTATGCATGTAATTTGTGTGCTGCAAAAACATGGCACCAGATAATTAGGACAGACACTTGGTTTGAGTCCATCAAAACCATCATTTTGTCACTCATTTCCCACAATTTTCAATTCACAATCACAGGATGAAAGTTTGTTGTTACCAAATTATGATATTTGAACTAACTGAAACTGCCAGTCTGAATGAACAGAAAAGCTAGACAATTTTGAAAGCTTGTATAAGGAGAGATCATATGCCTTAATGTTAATGTTACTGATAGATTTACATACATTTAACACTGCACAAGATGTCTATGGTAGATGTTTTAGTAATTGGTGCTGTTCATAAATGGGCTTTGATGCTGTATCATGAGCCATCTCAAGGATGTCTTCTGATTCTTATACCTTTGAAATGTATGGTGTGATTTGTAGGAGAATGTTTGCTTTTAGTTTTTAACCAGTTTATCAGCAATCACATTCTCGGATGTTGTTCCATGTTGCCGACTGTAAAAGTTGAATATTAAGTTATTACAGAAACGTAAGCTAAATTCGTGGATAACCTTGATTCGTGGATCGCGGAAATTATCATGCTGGCTCGAAAATTAAGTCTCGACTAACGTCACGAAGCGGTACTTTTGATGTATATACAATGCCACGCCTCGCTGACAAAAAAGTTCCGAATCTCTGCATTACACGCAAGTACATTAAATATAATTGTCCAGCATTGAGATAAATAGCCCCAGATCACTAATACCACCATTACTAAATTTTATTTTTACAAAATGTCAAGTAAAAAGATACCGTTAGCTCCAACCTTCTCACTTCTCGTTGTCTGCTTTCCTTGGTGTTAATACTTACTGCAGTCGGATGTCGTACATAGTGGTATAAAGTAACAGACTACGAAAACCACGAAACAAGGTGACATCACATCTTGTGGGCACATGAATGGGTGATGATTGCTAATGGCTTCCGTAAACAAACGTTTCATTCACGAGTGGAATAATAGGCATTTTCAATTTGCTGAATCAATGAATAAAATAATCAGTGCGTATACAAAATGAAATCATGCATTTAAAATATGAATTTCGCCGCACTTCCCTTATATCCACGAATCAAGGTCAGAGGGCCACATAAGCTGCGTATCCGGGTAAAATACGCATAGAATTACGCATTGAAAAATAATTGTTGCGTACCAATTACGCATTTATAATGTTAGATACGCAAAAGTTTAAAACAAATGCGAACAGAATATATTTATAAAAATCACTTGCGTAATGAAAAAGACATCGATTGCTATCAAGTTGTACTGTTAGTATAGGACTAGTGTTGTAATGTCAGTATAGGATGAGTGATTTGTTATGAAATAATTTCCATTATATTTAAGTTGGTTTTGATTAGGTATGACATAAGGCAGAACATACCTGCTTAGTAAACTTACTAATGACTTAATACTTAGTTGAGTAAAGTGACTTAAATACGCACATATTTGAAAGCAGTGGGTAACAGAAAATGAAATACCCACTCAACATTCATAATACCCACCCCAAAAATATACAGTGGGTACAGCACCCAAATGAGTTAAATCTTATCTGGAGCTCTGAAGGTTATGCGAGTGTAAACAGTAGGGGGTTAAATCTTGACTCTCATAATTTATGTACATGTCCGTTAAAATTCTCTGATCATGTGGCTGGACAGTGTTGTGACCTAGGGTCATACACGCTGCAAACATGTTTGACACACATCATGCCACTCTTGTAAGATGTTAAATCATCCGTTCTCACCACAATATACCCAGCACCCAATCACTACAGAGTTGTAAATGTTTCTTTTCTTTTCTTTTGTGTGTGTGTGTGTGTGTGTGGGTGGGGGCTCAGACAAGAATGGATATATTAATCATTATTATTTTACTGAACTATCATTGCGTAGTTATGAATGGAAAATATAATCATAAAAAGCCGGGAGCAAAAATGACGGTTGAGTGACCTATAGCCAAGTATGCTGCTTGTCTATCATTAAATCTGGACTGTAGCCTTCGTCTTTGCTCAGTCATATTGCCCACGAATCTTAACAACTATGTTGTCCCCGACATGCAGCGTTTATGAAGAAAGACTGCATTCATTTGGGCCTACTTAATGCTACTTGAAAGTAAAGATATTATATGAAGCATCGCTTCGTCCATGAAACTGCACTTTTGAAGCACAACACTGACACTTGCCTCTCACCACTGAAACAGCAGAGTACGAATATTCGGTGGCAAAGTTAGCGCAAACACAAAACATTGCACGAAGCTTCCCCGGAACATCAAAGACACTGCATATTTCACTTGAACAAACTGTTCTGAAGCTTAGAAGCACAACACCGATTTCCAGCCATACTGTTTGTTAAGAAACTATTTTTGGTTTAAGACATTTTCTTACACATTGATTATTTCCATGGAAATCAAACAAATATGCCGTCCTACTCTTATTAACGAAGGGTGGCTTCTGTCTATGGAAACACATATACAACATGTTTACCGCGATGAAGAATGTAACAAGAAACATTTTGATAATCTGGTAATGTAGTTACTATTTAAGGAAATAGTATTTTATTGAGTAAAGCTGGGGCGGTCACTATTAACCGCAGATAGATTCAAAGGGACTGTTTATGTTGTTTTAATGGTTAGAGAATTCCATTATGAATATTGGCCAATAGATATGATATCTTTGTATAAAAGAAGTTGAATCATTTATTGCATCCTTTTGTGTCACTGCTTACTATTTCTAAAATTGATTGTCTTTGTTGAGCTCAAACTAATACTAAAACACGAATGTTCCGGATTTTAGGTTTACGCAAGCGTTTCAGCTATCCCAACTAGTTTATTTGAAAAAACAACAACAACAATTGATTGATATGTATTCCTAGTGGCATGCCAATTAAGCAATATGAATCCACGGCGCCAAAGGCATGTATATGCCCATATGCCTAGGGTTGAAGTTTTGTTGTTTGAATCAAAGTGAAAATCGCATCACCAGCTGACCGGCATGGCCGATTGTTTGTCATTGTATTCCGGGAGAGTTGATGGTCCCTCGGCCATTGGTTTACATTTCCCGGCCTTACTTACAAGCCATCGTGATGCATCTCTATGGAAAATGGTCGACTGCGGCGTAACACACCATTCCCCCACTCATTCCCCGCATCTAACACAGCTAAGTAGTTATGATATACATTACAAGATAATTCTTGTCAGTGCTGGTATTATCGCTTACTTGTTTGTTTAACGCGGTATTCAGCAATGTTGCAGTTACATGATGACGGTCTATTAAGAATCCAGTTAGGACCAGGCAGTCAAGTACGTGACTGACAATGATGATCGACACACGTAGATGAGATACGTTGGCATGCATCGACCAAGAGAGGAATCCTTTTGTGACAATCATGGGTCTTTGCAGATCAATACAGATGTAATCACGATCTTCTGTTAACTGATAGGAATCTCCTTGAAGTGGGAATGACTGAATGAATACAGCTAAACGCCGCACCACCAGTTTTGCCGCTATTCGCGGCGAGAAACGTCGTTTGCTATATAGTATATTAAACACACTAAAAGTAATGATGAAAATGAACAAACCTCTGTCAAATTCAGTCACACCCTAGGTTGAAAAACTGTTGAGATCCAAATCCAACCCCCCCCCCCCCCCGAGTGATTTCTTCAAAATATAGCCCTCCCACACACACGTGATTAGAAACTGTTTAAAAAAAAGTTTAGAGGAAGTGGAAACGTCGTATAAACGTCTGATATGTGAAACACGATAACATTCAAGCGAAATGTTTTTGATATTACAAGTCAAAACATTGATTACACAAGAGTCTCGTTTCCAGTTGACTTGGTTCCGTCCTATTGCGCAACTTAGTACCATAACCAGTCCAGAATTTTGAGACCAAAATATTTGGATACATAAAATATGCCGCTAGAAAAGTTTGGCGGTCTGGTACGGACGTGATATTATATCAATCACATTGTGCATTACAGAACTACATTGAATAAGCGCAAAGAACACATAACAGGTGTAACCAGTGAGCCAGATGCATTGTGAATCATTTTACGACCTCATCAAACTGGGGCAGTCTGAGACGTATTAGTTAAGGTCATGCTGCCTACACATCGCCATAAAATACGATGTTATTAAAGTTTGTAAATACCATTTTCTTATGAAACAAGGAATTGGAATTCAGTGTAACCATAGTTGTTTGTGATGTCTATTTTCACTTTCACACGAGAAAATTCGGATCGGCTGAAAAGTAGGTCATTGTCTGAATAGGTTAATGAGACTCATGTTTCGGTTTGCTGATATTATACACTGCATGAGGTCCTGCATCTTCTTCTTTTAATGAGGGAGGAATGTGCACAGTAACTATGTTATATGATCATTCGAACTGTGTTCCATATTTTCGGATAACAAGTTTAAGAGCGGTAAAAGGGAAGTTAGTTTTGTAGGGTCACCTCTAATGCTAGATTATTTTCTCGGTTGGGGACATTCTGAATGCACCCAGGCATAGTGTAATACCTTGATTACGAAGTATCGATGCGTTTAAGAATATGATTTGCGAGCTGTACTATCCATGGTATTCATGTTGGTACCACGACATATGTTACAATTATCTACGAATAGAGAGCAGTCGATGCTGTCGTTAAAAAATGGCTAAGCTGTAGATTTTGATGATAGAAAGGGTTACAATACTTGCTCTTGGGAATGTCCATCTCATGTAGATCTTTCAAAATGCCATATTTCCAAGTAATATGCATACGCTTTTTTTTATAACAAAGTATACACTACGTGCTGGTTTTTATTTAAAAAAATAATAATCCCTCACCAATAAATAATTCTAATCTGACCATATCAAATCACATCAATCAAATCCAATTAGACATTAATTTTGTATAGCGCTATATACCCAGAGTCCTGCTCATGTGCGCTTAGTCGAATGCTCATTTGAAGAGGATGGTTTTGAGACAAGATCGGAAACTGTTGATATTTCCCGATTTTCTGACATCAGGTAATCCATCCCAGAGTACAGCGCCCGCTCTGCTAAATGTTCTGTCCCCGTTTGTTGTGGTTCGGACAGATGGAACATCTCAGCTTTGCTGACTAGCTGATCTGAAGGTTGTGAAGGTTGACTAGTTCCTGGAGATAGAATGGAGCAAGCCCATTAATGGACCTGTAAACAAACACAAGAAGTTTGAATACAACACTGTCTTTTACAGGGAGCCAGTGTAAGTCCTTCAGGACTGGTGTTGTGTGCACATACATATGTGTGCGTGTTATGAGCCTGGCAGCTGTGTTTTGAACACGCTGTAACTTGTCCATGTACTTCTGCTGTATCCCATAGAGTAGACTGTTGCAGTAGTCCAGACGTGATGTCACAAATACATGGGTTAGGCATTTTACTGATGGTGTGTCCATGTACCTGCTAATCTCTCTGATGTTCCTTAGGTGGAAATATGCAGATTTGCAGATGTTACTGACGTGATTTTCCATGTTTAATGTTGAGTCAAAGATGACACCTAGATTTCGAGCATGGCTTTCTGGCCGAACAATCGTGTCTCCAATTTGAAATCCAGGGACCTTAAACTTTGATTTTCAGAAAATTAGTGTTCATCCAACATGCAGTTTGTGGCTTGAATCCGAGATATAGCTGAGTGTCATCAGCATAGAGATGATAGCTGAGATTGTGGGCTCGGGCTATATCACCAACGGGTATGGTATATACAGTGAACAGGACTGGGCCTAGGACTGAGCCTTGGGCCTAGGACTGAGCCATATGATCAACAGTAATCCTCTGGTGTCTAAAACCACACTGGACATCTGTGATATGTGATATGATTCCAGGTACAAAACAAGTCGGTCATATATCATACGTTACGTGGTCTAGCACCCTGTCTGAAATCATAATCATGCCGTGGTATGTTAACACATGGATTTATTGATGTATCAGAGATACTTTTCAGTAGCAATAGCAATGAATATATCTGAAAAAAGTCTTCATCTCATCCAAACCATTCATGAAAGTGTCAGGATTTAAGTTATCACGACACAGAGTATACTCACGGAACTCAAGTTTCGCAAACACCTATGAACTCAACATATAAATTTATATTCATAACATGTCTGTTTGTATGAATATTTTGACCCTTCGCGTGCAGCATACATTGCTTTTAGATATGCAAGTGCTATGATCAAAGGGACGAATCACGTGCCATTCGTTTTCCCGTCATTAAGCAAGTGTCGGGAAATTGTTCTTAACTAAGAAAAACAAAATCAATGATTTTGTTATTGATGAGCAAATATGGGTCTCCAGCATATTGTTATGCTGGATGCTGGCATGCCATTGTGGGCTTTTGTAAAAGATGTTGTTTGTGACCCAAGGACTATCAGCCGATTGCCCAGAAAACATCATCAAACTTATGCTTTGCACCCTTATTCCACAGAGATTTCTGGCTCATCGGTCACTAATCGGAAGCAATTTTTTCCTTCCGGAAACCCACAGAAGAGTATCGTATCACAGTCCGAGGAATCCGATTTGTGTTTGTCAACTATCAGGTCAGTGTCCGACGTGTCGGGCGTCAACCGATGAGGCGAAATCGGAACTAAACTCAGAGCTTAGTTCACCATCGGACGCTATTTCCGGTCGCACATCGAGTCAGTGTCAGATGAATGTCGAGTCAGTCCGATATGTGTCAGATTCGTGTTGTACAACTATCGGATGTGTCTAGCCGACGTCTGACGGCAATCTGATAAATGTCCGATGATTAACAGTCATCAGACGCTCATCTGATTTCAATCTGCGGTCTGCCCAAAGCGCCTGATAGTCGCCATCACCAATTCGATTCTCCTCGGAGAGTAACATGATATTTAGCACCGTCCGATTGCAAGTTCTTTCTTGAGTACGGCTGGCTTCATCATTGGGTTTATACCCCTTTCCACTGTCTTGAGCTCAGCTGCATTGTATATCTGTGCATCAGACATGTGTCCTTGACCACCGGTGTCTATCCACAAGAACCGTTAGTTCACATCAACAAGTGCCATGAGGACCACTGAGAAGAAATGTATGGTAGAGACTGCCTGAGTTCTTCAGTTTCCTGAGTGCCACGTGCTTGCCATCAAGTGCCCCCATTACAAGTGAAACGTTCCAACGCCTCTCGTATTCTTCAGCAATTGCATGCCATTCTTGTTTAGTGGTGGGACACTGGATCACTCCATCAGCATACTCATCCACTATGGCTTGACAGACTTTGGTGATAAACTTGCAAATGGTTTCCCGAACAACCCTGAAACTGTATGACAGCGATGGATACCGATCGCCAGCTGCAACATGCCTTAGGGGGCAGGGTAACTTGAGACCAGGTTCAAGGGCTCTCCTGGC